ACAGGGGCTTGGGCAGGGAGCTGCTGGGACAAGATGACCTTGCTGCAGCGCTTCCCCATGCAGAAAACGTAGTAGTAAATCAAGCCTTGCAACCTGGTTTCCCACAGTTAAATGAGCATGAGGCTTTTTTTTTTTTTCTCCTCCCACCCTACCCCAAAAAAGTTTCATTCTTTTAGAAATGAAGAATGAAGAAATTCTATTTCTGAAACCTGTTAGCAGGCAGTTCTGCCAGGGAGCTCCGAGGTTCTGAAAAGCAGGCTCTGCACTGACCTCTGTTTTCTCTATGTTTTAGCAAAGAGGTTCCTGCATGCCTAAGTGGAGCAGCAGGTTGATGAAATCCAAGAGGTCCCAAGCTGGAGGCGAGACACTGGGGAGGAAGCAGTGCTGAAAATAAACTGCATTGATACCTGCTTCCTGTGTTTGTATATGAACATTAAAAAAGCCAGCTTTTAAAATATTTGCTCCCAATGGCTCTTGAATCTGGTGGCATGTTTTTACAGTGTGAATTGGGTCGGTATAGTAATGTCCTTACAACTTAAGGCTGGGAAAATGGGTCTGATGCTTGTAGTTATCCTTTGTGAAATGAAGAAGGAAATAGATGTGGCACAGCACAGAGATGACATTTTTCTAAATGCATATATTTGAGTAAATCTGGCAGCTGCCTGGATTTTTAACATGATTCTATTTGCTTCCCAGCTCTCAGCTGTTTTCGACAAGCTCTCTGACTTCTGCATCCACCTTGATGGAGATTCTTGAAGCCATGAAGCATCCTACGTAAGGATTTTTTTTTTAATATATTTTTGTTTTCGTTTTACACAAGTATGCTTAATATCTGTCTGGAAGTTTTATAAGATGATGTGTCACAGAGACACTCCAAGAAACCCCATGTCGGCTCTGAAGGAGTTTTTCCAGCTGCCTTTTATTATTCAGTTCCAGTTGCTCCGGGAGGGAATTCTGTAGAAATTTACATACCAATATGGCCACACAGACTTGTATTATCAGAATTCCAGTCTTGCTAAAGCAAGATTCCGCAGCAAGGGTTCTGTTTATATCAAGTATTCATCTTTGTTACCTGAAGCGAATGTCTTTTGGGGGCATTGTCACTTTGGGGGCATTGTGCACTTCTTGTTCTGTGTCTTTATATTTTATTTTTTATCTTTTTTCCTTTCTTTTTTTCTTTCTTTTTCGGCAATGATTTTGTCCTTGTTACTTGCAGAACTATCAGTCGGTTCATGCTAACAACATATTTGACTTGCTGTGATTCAGCACAGGGATCCAGCTGCTCTCTGAACAGAAGGGCCTCTCCCCATCCTGTTTCATCAGTGCAGAAGTTGTGCATTGGCTGGTGAACAATGTGGAGGGTGTGCAGACCCAGGCCATGGCGATTGACATCATGCAGGTAGGAAAGTTGCTGTGTTGGGAGAGCCAGGGTTATCCCTCTCTAAGTAGAACTGTCAAGGAAACCATGGTATAATCCCTGTTTCTTATTAAAAGCCTCGTGTTGATGCACACTGAAAAGTGTGCTAAGCAGAATATGAGGTAAGGAGGGCAGCACAGAAACTAACTTCTGCCACCAGGATGTTCTTGCTGCCTCTTGAATGCTAGTTGTTAATTTATGATACAGATGATATGTGTGTGCTACTGCTACCTGATTTACATCTTAGCAAATTTGTTGTGTTTTTGTGAAGCAGCAGCACATACTTCAGTAGTAATATGAATTATATTTTCCACTGTTATGAGATGGTGACAATTCTGTGTACAACCTGCCTTTAGCTGGTAAGTTACCAAGATGTCCCCAGTTTTTAGAAGCATGAGACACAACAGTGACTTTTTCTTTCTTTCTGATAATTTGTTTGGGTAATGAATCTGTGATGCAGACAAGAGAGGAATTCTCTTTTATGGATGATGAGGTATAAACACTTTGTGCAAGATACACTGCTTGTATTCATGGATTTTTCTTCCCAGTTGAACTGTGTTGGAGGCGGAAGGTTAGAAATGCTTTTGAGTAGATTCCTCTACTGAGATCCCATATCAATTAACAGAGAACAGAGATGTTTCTGACTTCTTGCCTTCCTGTACACCAATCAATAAAACCAGAACAAGGTAAGGGAGGAAGGCAGACATCTGCAGAAAGGTCAAATGCAATTTCTCAAGGAGATATGACTGGCTGCACTTACTGAGTATCAAAAGATGCATTGCTGATACTCTCCTTAGGTACATCTCTGGACAAAAAGACTTCAAGAAGGAAAATAATTCCTAATGTTCTCTATCAACCTGTTTATTAACTCTGAGAATGGCTTCTTTTTCTTCTGTGTTTACTTCAATCTCTTTTTCAGAAAATGCTAGAAGAGCAACTGATTGTGCATGCGTCCGGAGAAGCTTTACGAACCTTCATCTATGGCTTCTATTTTTACAAGATCGTTGTGGACAAAGAACCTGAGCGAGGTCAGAGTTCTGTTTAGTTACAAGACTTTCCTCATTATCTGTTTGCATAATTGCTAGCTTCACTTGATTCTTAAGGGTGCTGCTGCAGAAAGTCATCTTTGGAACAACCAGAAACTGTCTGCTCTAAAGAGAGTCAAGGAAATTGATTAATCTTTGGCCACTTTCTTATTTTAAAAAAAGAAGGCAATTACAGGGAGTGTGACCTATTTTTTTTTATTTCCCCATTTTCAGAGTTGCTTCTCTTTCTTAATTGTGATCACTTGTTCCTAGCTGTGACCTCTGCTTCCCCTTGCTTTTTGCTCAGTGGGCATGCCGCAGCCTGCCATGTGGCACACAGCTGCCATGGATGACTTCTCCGCCTTCCAGAGGAAGTGGTTTGAGGTGGCGTTTGTGGCAGAAGAGCTCCTGCACTCCGAAATCCCTGCCTTCCTCCTGCCCTGGCTGCCCAGCCGCCCAGCCTCCTATGCAAGTAGGCACAGTTCCTTTAGCCGCAGTTTCGGAGGACGGAGCCAGGCAGCTGCACTCTTAGGTAGATGCACAGCACAGGTGACAGCTGGGGAAGTGCACGGGGATAGTTTGAAGGGGGAAGAGCAGCCAGCCAAGGGTATGATCTCACGTGGACCAGCAATAAAGCTGCGAATTTCATGCTGGCCTTACATGTATCTTGCAGGTGATCTCGTTCTGAGGTATGTTTCACTGGCTGAGCAGGGCAAGTTTTGCTGCTCAGCCAGCAAACTTGGAATGGAACTGGAATGCAACAAAAAATATTTTGGAAAAATTAATTGCTCCTGTCTGTCCTCTCCCCCTCATGCCACCCTCCAGAATTCAGAGAGGAAACACTGATTTTGTGTCTCCTTGCAGAGCCAAATAGACTCTTTACAACCTGTGATGAGGGACAATTTGTGAGAACAGTAGAGCATCCAAACTCTCCTTAAAATGACATGCCTAAGTGCTTCCCAAGGACAAGAACCCCAGCGAGATCCAGATGTGTTAGAGAAGTTTTCTGTGATGTGGTGCTGGAGGCTCCTGGGCGAGTCTGAATCATTTACAGCCAGACTCCTTGTGTTCATGTCTGAGAAGCTCAGCTGCCAGTGATCCCTGCAGGGTGGGAACAGCAGGCTTTGCATATGGAAGATCGGGATATAGCAGGACAAGATACAATTATAACATCTAAAGGTCCTGCAATGTGTGAAGTACAACACTAGTACCATTAACAACCTGTGAAACATACTGGCTGCATGTTGGACTGTGTTGCTTTGTCATCTTTTTGTCGCGTTTCCAGGCCAGCCTGAGTCACTTGCTTTTGTTACCCTTTCCCTGTCCAAAATTGCCAGGAAAAAAAAAAAGAATAATTGCTATGAAACTGCAGCTTCAGATTAATTTAGATGCATCTTTCAAAGGAGTATCTCAACTGGAGATAAAAGTAAGATTTTATAGTGTTTTTTTTTTCTTTATATATTTGACCTTCTGAAGAGACTTATTTCTGGTGTATCACCTGGATCTCTAAAACCTGAAGTTACAATAATGCATATGTATTTCTGAAAGTTTTGTTTGAAGAGGAACAGCATCAGAAATGGGAAAGCATTACAGATAGGAAACCTGAACTTAGGGTTAATTCCCTGAAGCCAACATATGCAGGATATTTTTCCCTGTCACACAATAAATCTGTTGCCTTGGCCAGTATCCAACCTCATTAGCTCAATGATTGGCCAAAACCAGCCTGAACATAGGCTGGCATAAAAGCCTTGTGAGGGCTGAGGAGCTGGGGCCAGATCCTGTTCTTGCTTTGATCTCTTACTCACTGCTTGGCCTGGGAAAGCAACTTCACTTTTTGATGTCTGTGCACATCTTGAGATGATCAGGAATCAGTGAGTTTGTACCTGGGGGAATGGACAAAAAGGGAAGGGTGTCTTAGTCCTCCTTTCACATTTTCTTTAACACCACCCAGAAAAGAGGGGATTCCCAGAGGGTGTGATATAGTCACACACTTCTATAGCCCTTCTCTCTCATTCCCATTGGAATTATGTCTGTCTGCTGTTTAACTAATTTGCAGCCCATGGATGAGCCACCTCCAGGCTGCTGACATGCGCACTGCTTATTCCAAAACCTGTTTCTTGGAGGAAAACTCAGTATAAAAGTTCTAAGAAAAAGAAGTGAACTGGCTTGATAAATGTTTCTATGTTGTCCCTCTTCTAAACAGTGTTCCAGCAAAATAAATAAATAAATTATCAGCATATCAGAGCTTTACTAAACCCAAGTGACCTCTGGTCCACGTGACTTCATTTGTTCCTCTCTTGGCTTTGATTTGGTTGTGGTTTTGATTTCTTCCCCTCCCCACCTTCCCTAAATGTCAGGCTGTGACACAAAATTGCATGCAAGCATTGGGAGCTCTGGAACAAGCTCCATGTATCCTTAAAATCCTTATTCTTCCCCACTCCCTAATCACTTGCTCAGTGATTGTCCCCTTTCCCTTCCCACTGAAAATCTGACCTGTGATATACCTAATCTTGTCCCTTTTGATTTATAGCAATGCATGCACTAGCAATTGTAGCCATGTATGTAGCATAGTCTGTGCCTGGAGAATAACCTGCCTGCTCCTCTCCGATCGATAAATCGTTAGCTAAATACTCAGTGGTACAAGACAATTGGGAAGCAGGTGAGTCCTCTTAAAATCAGATACACGGAAGCCAGAGAGTTTATTTTATTAAAATAAAGTTGATCATAATTTGAAGCTTCTAAATTCAGAGCAACGTGGATATTTTTCTTTGGTTTGTAAGGTTGTTTTTATTAGTTCCTCTGGCCGGGCTGTCTTCCTGCTGCTTTGCCTGTGAGTTACAGCCACAGGCGAGGGGGCCAGGGAGACTCCAGTGCGAGGGAAGAGCCTCGGGGAGCAGGGAGCTCATTCTTCACAGTGTCCTGGTTCAGGTACAGTGGGCTGGGTGCTGTCACTGGCCTTGTAGCTAATGAGCAGCCCCTACCTGCCTGAGCTGCTTTTGCTGTACATCTCTTGGGAGGTTGCCTTCCAGCATCTCAGATCACGGTTTGTATTTTGTTGCAGTATTGGCATTGTAACCTTCTCCTAACCACAAGCATTGTATCTACAGTGATACAGCAAGTGAAAAGGAGGGCGAAAAATAAAATCATGAGATGTTGATCTGTCTGACAATATGAGACTAACTCAGCTTGCAGATAACACATCTCCTACAGACAGATACAGATTTTATTTACAAAATAAAACTGGGTGGTATTCTTCCATTTTGGGATATTTTTTTTTCCTGTTGCTAAGCTGCAGTAACAGCAATGTAAGGATTTGCTTTTAACCCTGAAAACTGTCTCCAGCTAACTTGCAGCAGAAGTGAATGAAGGGGGGAGCTTTCCTCCTACCTTGAGGATGAACTTCAACCATTCAGTAAGGTCCTTTGAAGCTGAGCATATAGAAGGGCGAGTGTCTGCCTTCTCTTAGGCAAGATAGAACAGTATTTGTCCTAGGACATGTAACTGAAAGGCACCATGAAGTGCCACGCAAGCAGTTTTCAGCAGTATTACTGCAACCCTTTGTATTTTATGTCAGTGGTACATGATGCCTTTGTATAAAGGAAAGTTGACACCATAGTTTGTAGCAGGGCTTCGGCCCATAGTTGGAAGGTCTGGGCTCTATCCCTGGCCTTGTCTGCAGCCAAGTCGCTTCCACTTTCTGTGCTTCTGTTCCTCCTTTGCCTGGTGTCTGAGACTTTCTCTGACTGGGATTCTGGGATGTGGGGCTCAAAGGGAGCTGGATGTTGGGCATTGTCCTAGCACGAGTCGCCAAGGAAGAGGAGGTATCGCAGTGGTCTGAACACTGCTGCACGAGTCTTGGCTGACTTCTCTTGCTTTTACAAAACTGTTGGGTATGCAGTTTTAGCAATGCGGTAATGTGGGATATTGATGTGGGGTTAAAGGAACAAGTTTTGTTTCTAATCTCTTTTTGCTATGAAAAGTCCTGGAATGCTCCTACCATGGATAACAGTGGCCCGTAATGATTTCTGGTGGGGACATAAAGAAACCAATGTGGGATGTCCTGGGTACTGAAGGAGGTGGTGCTGTCTAGCCATGTTTAATTATGGCACCAGTCGCTTATTGATCAGCTCTTGGATTCTTGGCACAGTTTCTTTATTGCAGCTGATATGTCTTGACTGCTTGGAGAGGTAATTTACATCATAGACCTCTAGTATGGGTAATGCTGTTTGTTTTTCTGTCTTTTGTGATCTAGGTGAGCAGCATTCCTAGACTATTCTATTAGCCCAAAAAATATTTGGGGAGGAGTGGGAGGAGGACAGATTCATTCCAGATGGCTTATTTGTCTTGTTTTCTTCTGTTCTTTTCTCCCACTCACTCTTGAACGTGCGTTTAAAACATCCCCCTATTCCTTGGCTGCTCAGCTGCCACAGTGCCTGAGCAGCGGACGGTGACGCTGGACGTGGATGTGAATAACCGCACGGACCGCCTGGAGTGGTGCAGCTGTTACTACCACGGCAACTTCTCCCTGAATGCTGCCTTTGAGATCAAGTTGCACTGGATGGCGGTGACTGCGGCTGTGCTGTTTGAGATGGTAAGGGTCCCGGGTGGCCACGGCATCCCAGCCTAAGCGCTTCCCCGCTGTCCTGCTGGGAACATCGTCATGGCCAGGTGGGAAGTTTGAGGAGAGCAATGGGGGGTTGGATTTGCTGCCATTTTAGTAGGTAGTTCTACTGATGATGGTGCTGCTAAAGTGTTGGCACTGCAGCATCTCCTCTGAATTTATTGTGCCATCTAAATCATTCCTTCTGCAGGACGGTATTCCACCTCTGAGCAGTGTCCTCTGCGCTAGGTGAAGGCCAGTATAGGTGAAGGTGGTGTTTTAAGTCCCACTTACCTAAATCTCAGGCCTTAAGCTGTGTCTTTGGAGATGAATGTGTTTCACACCACATTTCTTCTCCCCTTAAATGTAAGAGCTTTGAAACTCAAATCGCTTTCATGATGGGGCTTTCTTAGGCAATATGTTCATCCCATTCAGCAACAATTTTGGGCTTCTTGTGAACTTGCTGAAAATATTTTGAATTATAAATGCAAGCAGCTGTTGATGTTTTTATTTTAGAGTTTTCTTAACCTTTATTTTGTTTTCCCATTTGTATTTTTTATAAAGCTCCATCTCTGCTTAACATCAGGCTTTATTCCACCCAACCAAATAGCACTAGTTGATTGCTTTTGCTTTTATATAAAAACCCTTGCACTTTCCAGTAAGGCAGCAGCCTTTAGCCACTGCTGATAAGTAGGCTGAACCAGTTCCTGAAAAATGTCCCATTTTAAAGTGCTTTCTGATTGATGTGGCACTTTAAAAAAAAAAAAAAAAAAAAAAAAAAAAAAAAAGGCAAGATTGATGTCTTGTGCTTGTACAGCTTTGCTTACGAGGATGCTTGTGTGCTGGCCATGCAGAGCGAGCTGAACCAGTGGAGAAATGAGCATAGCTGATCTATTCTTGGCAAGATGAGTTGCTCCTATGCACATTAGTGCCTCTCCTCAGCTTGACATATGTGCCTTGATTCATTGTTAGAACCTTTTTCTCAGGTTCAGGGTTGGCATCGGAAGGCGACGTCCTGTGGCTTCCTGCTCGTTCCAGTCTTGGAAGGTCCGTTCGCTTTGCCCAGCTACTTGTATGGAGACCCCCTCAGAGCTCAGTTGTTCATCCCACTCAATGTCAGCTGCTTGCTGAAGGAGGGCAGCGAGCATTTGTTTGATGGTAAGAAATGCTCTTTATTATACCCTTTGGGATAGTTTCCTGCAAGTAGATCCCTTCTGGCATGAAGAACCTCATTTATCTATCAGAAATGCATTAGTGGGATGAAGAGCCTGCCTCTTCCAGCCACTGGCAGAGCTCGGAGGAAGCTGCACTGGCAGAACTGATGGGCATGCAGCTCTGCACCAAGCTGGCAGCAAGAAGTGCCAGGGCACAGGATGAGTGGTCTCCCCCTAACCGTGGCCTTACAGAACTTGCATCAAGCAGTTTTTCTCTTTGACATGGTGTTATACTGAAAAATCTGTTCTGCTATAGGTCCTGCCCATAGGGGATCTGCATTTGTATCCTGCATTTGCTGCTTCTCCCCCTCAGTGAGATTAGGTTTTCGTGACTGCCATCCTTTTTTTTGTTGCTATGGTTACAGTCATGGTAAGAGTTTGCACTTGAGATTAAGAGCTAGAAGCTGCAGTCTTCTTCTCTGCAGCCTCTCCCTTTTGAGCAACAGTGTTGCCCCAGGTCTCAGGTGAGAGCTCAAATATCAGAGAGCACCAGCCCCATGCAGAGAAAGGCAACGTTACATTGTGAGGAAGGACAAATTGCAAAAGGCCCTGTGCTAAAATAGTGAAGATGATCAGACTCTTTGTTTTTTTTAACTCTCGGCCTAGTGTCTGCATGTAAATGTGACAAGCCCGTGTGTTGCGAGGTCACTGTGGCCCCACTGACTCTGAAATAAGTATTTTCAGTGCCCTCTGTAGGGGTATGTGGTCACCAACACTCCTCCCTTGCCCTTTCGTGCATCTCTACAGACAAACAAGCTTAATTCAAGGATGAATTTGCTACTGATGCATGCAAGGCTTAAGAGGCTGTTATTCAAGGGACAGCTGATAGAAAACAGACAAAATGATGAAAAGAGATGGCTAGGAAAAAAGTGCACAGAAGGAGTCTGAGGAATACTGAAGCTTTGCAAGAGCAAAGGAAGTTCAGGGGCTTTGCCAGGTGATCGTTGCCTTTCTGTTTGTTTCAGGCTTCGAACCAGAAACCTACTGGGACCGTATGCATCTCCTCCAGGAAGCTATAGCATACAGGTGTGTAGAGCAGACTGATGGCAAGGTTTGTGCCTCCCTGCATCAGTAGGGATGAAAACTGGCGCTGAGCGCTCGCTCCCAAGGCACCTGGCTTCGGTGCAGGCTGCCTCGCTGCAGTCTGCGTGCAGCTTATTAGATTAAACATAGCTAAAATGCCTCCAAGTGTTTCTGTGCGGGTGAAGGAGGCAGGCAGATACAGTATTTCACCTTGTCACTCCATAGCAAACCTTTCCCTTGTCCTGGTACCTTTGGAAGGTGCCAAGGTTAGGAGCAATAGACAGCAAATACAGAGTCTCTTCCCAGGAAGAAGGGAGTGTTGTTTCCTCTCTGTGCTCTTAATGTAGTGCTGAGCTGGATGACAACCAGTGATTGACAGTAAACAGGAGACTGGGTTATGAGCTGCACTGAGGAGGCTGGGAACCATCTCAGAGGAAATTGCTGATCGCTTTGAATATTACCTAGCCTTGCCCCTCTGCGTGCTTGATTCGTTTCACAGTGCTGCTGCCAGGCTCTTTTTCATGCTAGGGAGGCTGGCTTTGTAATGGAATTTAGCTTGGACATGCACTTTCATTAGCTGAGAAAGCAGGAGAGGAATGAGCATCCTGCAGACAGCCAAGAGCTGTCAGGTGAGCTGCCTGAAGCTGGGAGGAACCCTGCCCAGCAGGAACAAAATGATCTCGCAGCTTGAAGTGTGCCCCAGCAAAGATTTGCTTTGCTGTAACTCTTCCCTCATCCGTGCACAGCCACCCCATCTTGTCGGAGACAGCTCCAGGTCTTCCCAACCTGAGCTGCTGGCTCTTGTTCCGGACACCAGGAGAGGGAGATCAGAGCAGGGCTGCAGGGCTTTCACACTGCACCTCACAGGGATGGGGCACGTGGAGAAGCTCAGGCTGTCAGCCCATGGAGAGAGGGGCTTGTGGGTGTGATTGGGGAAGATTTTCCCTCATGTACCTCCCTTGGGCTGAAGTAATCCTATTTGGCGCAGCATTTACTTTCTTTCTTTTTCTTTTCTTGGTGTTTGTTTCCCCAGATTTGGATTTGTGCAAGATAAATACTCAGCCTCTGCATTCAACTTTCCAGCTGAGAATAAGCCCCAGTACATCCATGTCACAGGTGAGCAGTACTTGGCAGGCACAGGGGCCAGGGGAGGCTCTCAAACAAAAGAACCATTTTATAGTCAGGTTGTGTTTGGTGTCAGGGGCGCTGATCCTCACTGCGTCCCTAGTCAGGTCAGGAGTTAAATGTATCAGCCAACACAAACTGAAAAACCTAAAGACAGCGTGTGAAACAAGCACAGAGCATTGCTCCATGAATGGCACTACTTGGAAGCCTGGTGTTACAGTGTCCCTGAAACTTTTCATTTCCAGGAGAGGGAGATACAGTTATAAAGCCAGAGCCCATTCTGTGTGTAGCTTCTATAAATGCCTGTCCAGAAGCTCAGAGGGAAGGATTTGGGAGAAGTCAGTACCCTCTTCTCATGAGTTCTGCCCTTGATTCCTGGTTTAAGTTCAGCTAGAGCCACGTCTGCCTGCGTGCACAGTGTGGGAGGTGGTGGGAGCACTTAGGACGTGCTTGCTCTCAGTATTCTTTGTTAATGCTGGGGATCTACTGGTGCTTTTTAACTATGCTTTCATGCATGACATATTACATTAAAATGGTAGCATGTCCAAGTGGGTTTCTGGGGCAGGAAAGCAATAACATGAAACAGAGTTCTTGGAAGATTGCAGAAGAGAATGGAAATTGGTTTAAGGATGGAAAGATGGGACAGAGCTTACAGTTTTGCTACATTCCCTTCCACCAAGAGAAAAACAAGACTACATGTTGTCTAAGTGTTGTAATTTGCAGAAGGAAATGGCATGTAAAACAGAAGAAGGAAAAGCATGTCTTATTTTATCTTGCTTAACAAAAAAAGACCAAAAAAAAAAACAATTGAATGAAACTCAGTCCAGTTTCCCTTCCAGAACCCCGTGAGTCAGCTGCTGGTCAGAGAGGCTTAGGTCAATCTGAGACTAAAGTCCTGTCCGTTTCCCCAGGGACAGTGTTTCTGCAGCTCCCCTATTCCAAGAGGAAATTCTCCTGCGGGCAGCAGCGGCGCCGGCGCAACTCCACGAGCTCCACCAACCAGAACATGTTCTGCGAGGAGCGCATCGGCTACAACTGGGCCTACAACACCATGCTCACCAAAACATGGCGATCCAGTGCCACCGGTGATGAGAAATTTGCTGATCGGCTGCTCAAAGACTTCACGGACTTCTGCTGGAACAAAGACAGCCGCCTCGTCTTGTTCTGGACCGACTGCCTGGATAAGATGCACGCAAGTGCTCCGTGAGAGGGGATGGCAGCTCTTGTGGCTAAAAGCTCTACTGTGTGACAAGAAAGCAGTAGTGACTGGAAAAGAGCCTCTCTGTTGCTTTCATTCTGAGGCTCAGAGGGGATCTGATCCATATTGCTGTTGATATTCAACAGAATTTGATTAAGTCACTGGAAAAAGACCCTGGGCTCTTGGCTTGCCAATACCTATTGCCTGATCTCAGCTTGATTTTAAGTAGCTGCAGCTCTTGATTGCCAAAACTTGAGTTAGAGCAGAAGTAAAGCAGGGAGGGCATGGACACTTTCCAAGGGCAGGTGGATGCAGCACAGAAAACGATGGTATAAGCTTGTTGTCATTGGAGGCCATGGGTGCAGTTTGCATCTGATGTGCTTGCCAGCACCTGGCCTCACCCTGTTGAGATGTACCTGCTTGTGTGAATATGTAAGATAAAAATGTGAGAAACTTATTAAATGTTCATACGTGTAAATAAGCAAAAATGCTGAAAACAAAGTGACTGCAGTGTTCTGTGATGTTCTGTTGTCACTCTTGACAGTGAGTAAATACGGAATTGGGGAATAATGAGGTGGAGGAGGCAGAGCTTTGCCAAAAGGAAATACTGCTTATGTCTAGTGTGATAATGAAGTGCTGCTGAGAAAGTCAGACCTCCTTTGGCTTTTAAGTTCAGTGGCGGAATGTTGCTCTTCAAACACAGAGGACTTTCTGGCCCCAGCTCTGGAGCTAGAGCAGTGTCATGCAGCAGGAGCAAGAGGCCAGTTGCCATTCAGCTAGGCCAGCATCCAAGTCTAAGGAGAAACCAAGGGTGATTAAATGCAAGATGTTGCTGCTTAGATGGAGAAGGGAGATGATGAACAGTGTGGAGGATGTGGCTGCACCCAGCACAATGAGGATGCTCTCAGGTAGGCCATGCTGGGGTGGGTAGAGAAAGCTGCTGCGGAGCAGCACGGACTCCAGCAAGAGCCGCCTGGGCCTGGGCCCAAAGGTGGCCCTGCGGCACTGTGTCCCACTGGAGCAGTTGTGCTCCTGTCACCTGCTCCCCCGCGGGCAGCAGGGGCTGCAGCCCCACCGAGGGGCTGTGTGGAGCTGCCCCTGGGAGCGCGGAGCTGCTGCAGCTCAGCGAGGAAGCCGAAGCTGGGTGAGTCATCTCCAGCTCTGGGAGCAGAGCGGGAGCTGCACGTTTTCATTGACTCCACTTGTGCGTATTGATGGGCTGGGAGCCATTAGCATCTT